GAATTTGTGTATGTGTGAGCAGTGTCTGAGAGAGAGAGAGAGAAAAATCATATGTGTAAGAAACATGCTCGCATCGATTCTATAGCGCATATAGGCATATTATTGAAAACTAAACTTTTTTTTTCTTTATAATTCGTCGTAATATTTCTTTTGTTTGTGTGGTTTACGCATTATTCCCTTTTCAAAAATCCATGTTCAGTTAAACAGTAAATTAATGAATTAAAAAATAATAATTAGTATAGCTATCTGAATATATATATATATATATATATATATATATATACCATCTTTCTAACCATATTCTACATGCACTTGGGCTTGCGATTTATCAGTGACAACTCAGTATGCTGGCATCAATTAAAATCAGCTCATAACAGAGCTGTTTTGAATCGCATATAAGCAATATGTTGTAGCAACGCTGACGGATTTTTTTTATTAATTAATTAATGTATTTTTTAACAACGTTTTCCAACATCTGTAACCAATATGTTTTTGATGCAACGGTCCACTGAGTGAAATACAAATATACAAATGATCAGTGTTTTTCTTCTGATCCACCCCCACCCATGCCACCATGTCGCTGGCGTTAGAAGAGATCCATCATCACTCAGCCAATAAGAATAAAAACGACGACGCCTATCAGTCAATAATGGTTAATGACGTGTTCACTGGTGATCATTGAGATGCGACGTGGCTTTGAAGCCTCTGAGGCCGAATGCACATATCTTTTCTCCATGTCATACTGTGTTTGTGGAACACCTGTAAGACAAATGACATGCCTGATTATACTTTAAACATTGCTGCCTATACTCATCACACGTCGTTTATTTATGATTAGTCAGTAAAAACATGGAAATCAACAGTGGTGGCTTAAAACCTTAATGCCACTTTGACGTTTTACTACATTCCTTTCAGTTTAGTGTGCATGGCTGAGGTTTTTTTTTTCCCCCAGATGCATTTTGAAGCCACATATAGGCTGTCCTGCAAATTATTGGCTGTAAAAAACACACTAAGACATGTCCCTAAAAAAAAAGGTTTTAAACCTTTAAAGACCCAGCAGGAACCCCCACTTACTTGTTCAGCCAGGCACCCCCAATACCTACATTTTACTTTTTTTTTATTTTTATTTTTTTCAAAAATAACGTTAATACATTACTAAACATACAAATATAAAGAATATATATTTTTTATATATTTACAGGTAACACTACATATTTTTGTTAGCTGATACATCCTGCTGTGTAACATTCTATTCTGAATTGAAAATTTGTTTATGTATTAATTATTAGGCATACAGATTTGATGACCTCATAGTAATTGAGACTGAATGCTTGTGCTTTTAAAACAAATTGTCATACCACATAACCATCTACAAAAAAAAAACTGGGGAGGGCAAAGAGGTAAAAACGGTCTACAATTTCATCTAAACATTCATATACATTTTATCCTAAAAGCTTGATGTTGATGAAGAAAAGGAATATGTTATGCATCAACTACCCATTCTGTTCACAGACCCTCAGGGGTCCCAGGACCCCAAGTTAAAAACCCTGGCTGTAGACTGCATGTTTGAACCAGATAAACCCAGTCATACCAGTCGTCAAAGTTACATGTTGAACTGACCTCCCTCTGTTGATTGCTGACATTATGATGTTTTAAGGTTTTTGTTATTAAGCAAAATGACACAGTCGTACATTTTTGTGAAGAAGTGTGCTTTTTGTAGGTGTTACTTTTTGAGATTACTGTAAATGGTACTTTCAGTAACAGTTTATGCCCTGGAAAAAAAAACAATGAATTGTTCAGTCCCACAGATTTATGTTAATGATTATGTGGTGATTATATTGATCTAAGCCTCTTCGGATTGGCAACACTCAAGAAAAAAGAAAATCTGAATAAATACAAAATGCAGCGCAATAAAATCAAGGAAATATGATTTAATCAAATCACACGAATTAACAAATTAGCCATATGTTGCATATTTTGCTTTGGCTGAATTTTAACAAAAAGTGCTCTCAATTCTCTCTCCTGCAGCACCTCCACCGGAAGTACCGGAATATCTGTGGCCAAGACGACAGTGGACAAATTGCTGAAGGGGTATGACATCCGCCTTCGGCCAGACTTCGGAGGTACACGTGATTCTTTATTAGAAATGTAGCTACCGTAAATCCTCACCAGTCACTGTAGAAAAGGTCACTTATCTGGAGTATAGTGATAAACATTATCATTGACTGATGTAGTATGTACATAGTCATGCAATATTTTCACATCTCCTTGTGTAGGAAGAAAGAAAAATTTGTGCATATATATATATATATATATATACTAAGACTAAGGTTTGTTACTTGTGGTCTCATGTCAAGACTTAATGTTAACGTGAATGTATGAAGGCAGACATTTTCTAGAAATCGCTGAAACAGCTCATGGTTTAATAGTATCAATCTCAAGGTTAGGCAGTACTGAAAGAAAACAAGGGACTGTTTGAGATGGAAAGGCACTTTGTGCTGTACTGTACCCTCGCCACCTGTAACAAGTTGTGTTGGTACAGTTTGCACAAAGGCTGAGCACACAGTTTTAGGTTGCTGCTCATGGTCCATATTTCTGCACGCGTTCACATTGTTGAAGGACAACGAGATGCTTTTCGAACCACAAAGTCGGGGGAAATTTTGTTTCACCACACCCAGAAGTCAGCTTGTCCGGCTATTCATCACAAGCCTTCTGTTTGTCCGATGATATTGCAAAGAGACTATACATTTGCTACAGAATGTACTTTTCAGTTCAGCCCTTCAGCAAATTACTTTTGTATTTCATCAAAGAAGCAAGTCAAAAGATATCTATCTATCTATCTATCTATCTATCTATCTATCTATCTATCTATCTATCAAGATCTGCGTGAGGGAACTGAGAACGAGTTGAGCAGACAGAAATATGCAGAGCAGGAACTGGAACAGGTATCACAAGGCCTTATTAACAGGAGGTACAACTTGTGAGAAGGATTTTTTTTTTTTACTTTAATCAAAATGAAACCTTGCCAGATGCAACAACTTTGACCAATACATAGTTTAGTCCCAAATCTTGATGTGAACTGACTGCCAAAATTTTGCTGATTTATATCCAGATCAGCTGAGGTGACAGTGGTTCTGCTAAATAAAAGCCTATCTATCTATCTATCTATCTATCTATCTATCTATCTATCTATCTATCTATCTATCAAGATGCTTTCAAAATGTATTCATGTTTTTACCATAGAGGCTTTTTGGTATTTGGATTTGTTGGTAGAAATGACAAGTCTGATATAGAATTGCGTGCTGCATTGTTGCCTAATTCAGAGTATTTTAGAACACATTGACCAATTTGAGATCATTACCACTTTCTATGTTCTCTTCAATTAAGCTAGATTGGGTAGTAGATTACTTACATATTGTAGTCCGCTACTGATTCCAAATTACATGACAAAAAAATTGTAGTTAGTAACATAATCCATTACATTACACATTTTAGATAATATAATCGGACAACTTTTAAATTACTTTTAGGTTACTTTTGACCTAAGTCGTTTATCACATTGATTTAAATACTGTAGGATAATCTTGTATCATATTGACATAAAAATACAAAGTGTAAGAAAATATAATCCATTCCTTGTTATTTACAACATGAAGTGCATTAAACATTACATTATGTCAGGGTTTCCCAAACTGGGGTTCGTGAAGGAACTGCAAGGTGTCCGTGGGTTTAATGAAAAGCTAATAATTGATTAAATCATAAAAATTTAAAATTAAAATAAATCATTTTATAACATCAATAAAAATAAAAACCCTTACTAAATATAGTATGTTTACTGCTAGTTTATTGCTATTGTGTGAATAATATGTAATCATGCAATCAATAAACTGTAGTCTGATTCCAAATATTTTAAAAAGTAATGTAACTGCAAGTACTTAATTTTTGGAATCTGATTACGTAATCCAGATTACATGCAATCAGTTACTACCCAGCTCTTCTCTTCAACACAATTTTTACAACACACAAAGAATTTTCAAGCATTTCATCAGCAGTGATGGCCCCTCCACAGAGCACTGATGTGAGGTCAGTTACCCTGCAGCGCTGCACACTTGTATTGGGAGCAGCATCCGCTCTGATGCAGGCCAGGGAACTGTAGTCTATCACATCCTGATAATTCCATCATCAGTCAGAGCCCAAGTCTCCTGACACAACTGCTAACCAACTTCAGCTTTGGAGCGCCGTGCATTTTAATTGGACCCAGGCCGCAGCTACGCTAGCCAGCGAGAGAGAGAGAGAGAGGGAGGGAGGGAGGGAGGGTGAAGAGAGCAGAGAGGATAGTGATGGAGAGAAAGAAAGAGGTCAGCTAGGTTGTAGAGAAACCAGGCCGTCCTAAAAGAGCTTCATCTCTTTGGCCGGCTAGAGGGATAGCCGCGGGGTTTGGTCGTGGTGTATTTGTGTGTGTGCGCACCCCTCAAATCGCACCACACCAACACATGAATGCAAAGCCTGCTTACGCATGCGAGCATACATGGATTCACACACACATACAAAGAGTTGCACAATTTTAGCGCGTTGTATTGCATGCGCAAAACAATAAAATGCTATTGACGAAATATCTGCAATCTAGTTTAACAAACCTCAAAATGTGCTGAAATAGCATTGCACAATGCATTTTTTTAACTAAGACATTGTCATTCTTTTAAGCGCAAATCCCTTATTATAGATTGTACTGTACTGTACTAATTTGCTAATACAATTAAGGTTGCACCTGCAAATTGTGTTTCGGTCAGGACCACTATCGTCAAAATGATAGATACTTAGCATAAAGTTTGGTTTGGCGGT